TTTTTTTCTTCTTAAAACATCCGCAGCTCATCACTTGCTCTTTCTACTTTTTTATATATTATTCAATCAGGATCTCATCGTAATTCCTTGAATACCGTCTAGATCATTTTCTGTCTGAGGATACTCACAGCAGATTCGTTTAGGTAGTGACAGTCACTTTATATTAACAAAACCTTACCCCTTATTTTTGTCTTGTTCAAGTTTTCTGGAGGCCTCGGATGAGCATTTGCAGTTTGCTGGGTCAGGAATGCTTAGAAAATGTCGTTCCTCTTCTTCGAAATTCTTGTCAAAAATTCTCTTCGGACATTGATTTTTATATGCACTCCTTGTCGTGATTTTGTGAAAGTATCCATGAGAACTAGCCCCACATCTCCTTTTATTGGCTTCCTCTACTTCATGTTCTCTTACGTATTTCTCGTTGTTTTATGTCCTAGCTTTCCTATAGGATAAGTGCGGGTTCCCTGCAGTCAGCTTCAGAAACCCCAGTTTTTCATTGAGACCATACCATATTTATCTACTTTCCGATATTATTTATGACTTCCTTTCCTTTCCGTTCATCATTTTTTAACTCGTCCTTTTTAGAAAACTGCTGTGCAATGCTTCATTGATGTATCTTGGAATGTCCGAATGTATTTTGTCTTCTACCTGATCCCGTTATTACAAGCACTCGAATTGCCGCTGGCGCCCTACAATGTGAAGGTGCGTCAAAAATCTTCAAAAATGAAAGGGTTAGCTTACCCATCAGCAATAAATAACCACAGGTGTTCTGTCGACAAGGACGACGATACTCACGACAAGCGCAAACGGCTTTGCAATGCTCGTCGTCAACAACCGCTTGCGGTTTTTTCGAGTTCAGTGAGCCCGACAGAGAGAAGGGTATTAGTAAAGTGAGTACCAAAGTATAGCTACTTCCTTATAAAGCCATCTTTGCGTTTTCAGACAGGTGTTTATGAATGTGTAGACAATGGTATCTTACAAACTACGGACGATGATCTCGAAGAGGATAATAGGGTGAAGATACAGCCCTTTACATAATCCGTAAGCCAACAAATATCTTTCAGGAACTCTTTTCCGAGCTTTGCGGTGCCGTGCCACAATGCTCATCCTTGAATCTGGATACGTTAAACTCGGCATTTCTAAAGTACCTAATTCTTCATTACCATATCAAGGTAAGTTTGATCG